CATCCTCTATTTTCCTTTCAATTCTTCTTTTAAGTATCTTTGCTATTATCTTTGCTGTATGTGCAATAAGGCTTATTGTGCGATGGTCGCTGCATTTTGTAGCTTTTGTCTTTTTCTTTAAGGCAATCATTGTAACTTCTGTAAAGTCCTTGGGCCACTCTCCACTTTCATATATGGTGTTCATTAGTTTTGTCAGTGTTTTCAAACCACCTTCTCCCAGTAACTTGTGGTACCATAATATCCTGGGAATTTTTTGAGTGGCTGAGCAACTGTTAGCTTCTCAAGAAGGACTCATCTCAATGGAGTTAGTGCAAAACTGTCTGCTAAGTTGGTGTAGTGCAATGATTATGTGTCTGAGCTACCTCATCTGACCTGTAAGTCAAACTGACTTCATTTGGTGGCTACCTGTATGAACATTACCTAAATTACTTCAGTATGTGTGTGGCTTTGATATAGGCGCTGACTTTGTTTTCATGGTTGTTTATCTCTCGGAGAAAACTGTATTTAACTCAGATTTAATTAATGAAAACCTCCTGACAGCTGGCTTCTTTTCCAAGAATTGTTGTTAGGACTTCCTACCTAGAGAGAAGGAGGTGGTAGCAATTCTACTGTAATGTTTACTTAAAGGAGAGAAAAGCTCAACCTCATCTAAATAGTTCTGCTGAATCCTAACCCCATACCACAGCTTTTAGATTTTATGTATAGTTACTACTCCAACCAGAAATATCCCTACCTATGAAACATCCATCTGTTGAACCACATAAATAAAATCACATTCACTGTGACACTCAAAACCAATTCAGAATCAAGAACATATATGCTGTTCATGAAGTAATTTGTGCAAGATTGTACATGCTTGACAGGTTTTGGTAGCAGCAAACGGTTATTACTGATAGCTTCATATAGTTTTTTACATTGGTTCACAAGTCATCTGAGGAGTTAACAGCCAAATGAAGATAATCCACAAAGGCTTAAACAATTTAGACTTATATTACTGGTCTGTGTTAAAATAGTGTCATGGTTGGTGTTGTTTTATGTAATGTTAATGCAGCACTACTTTCTATAAAGCAGTATTAACTTTCATTTTGTTTTACAGACATGGCAGTCTATTTGGATCACAATGCAACAACACCAGTTGCAGAACCTGTAGTTCAGAAGATAATAGACTCATTAAATGATGAATGGGGTAACCCAAGTTCTGGTTATCTGCCTGGAACTAAATCTAAGAACAGTATTGCAGAAGCAAGACAACATATAGCCTTGATGATAGGTGGTAAGCCTGAAGACATCATATTTACATCTGGTGGGACAGAGGTTTGTGATATGGGTAGATATGTACAACTGATAACTTATGAACTTCTCACGTCATGTACTTCAGGCAAGACAGAGATCTTGCTTTTTTATTTAGTTGTGCCAGAATAACATGAAAGTTACTGGTACCATAATATGTTCAGTTAGTTTTTAGTGTGTATTTATGTTACATTTATTGATTTTGGTTTCTTTTGTATGTTATATTTTGAATAATGTGTTAGAGTTGCCAGATTTTGTAAAATAAAAAAAGGAGTGATGTCTCGTTGCTTGTTTATAATGACATTTTTCACAACTAATAGGCTATAAATTCAAATTAAATTCTGATGTCTATAACGTGAATACTAGACAAAAATATAACTTCCACCTACCCTCATCAACTTTATCAGTATATCAAAAAGGAGTCTACTTTACTGGCATAAAAGTGTTCAACAATCTGCCACAAAGTATTAAAAACTTGGGCAATGATACTAAAAAGTTTAAATCAGAGTTAAAGAATTATCTACATGCTCATTCCTTCTACTCTTTAGATGAATACTTCAATGTAAATAGAGAATGATGTAAAATTAAGTTATATTAATTTTTAAGCTAAAATTGCTTGTACTTATGTATGTAGCATTTTGACTTGTTCTGTATCCAAAGGTACTAACCTGCTTAGGATTTATAGAATGTAAATCAATTCAATTCAATAAAATATACATAATCAACATACTACATAACTTACAAAATGCTACTACACATCTGTATTACATAGGCCTACTACACATTTATAGAACAAAACAAATATTACGTAGCCCTATTACATATTTATAGAATTTATAGAATATTACCTAGCACACATTTGTAGAACACACAAATATTAAATACTACATATTTATAACTTTCAAGGACTGGTCGATCAGATTCTGTTAATTGTATTTCACTGAACTCTTAGCACTTTTTTAATAATAGAACATCACCCTTTGAAAATTTATAAAATTCTTAACAGGACTTGCTTTCGTAGTTCACTGTCACCTGGAGTTCTGCCTTGATTAAATCTGTTGAGCATCTGTTTCTTGTGTCACTCCGCTTACTTTTCATGAATGAAAAGATTCGTTCCACAAAAGCATTTGAGCCAGGGATGCTAAGCAAAAATCCTACCACTTTGGAAATATTTGGTACATCATGCTCAGGTACTGAAGAAAAAAATGTAAGCCAGTTTGCTACATAATCACCATATCTGTTCACACTGTTGCAGAGGTAATCTCGATGGCTGCTGAAATCCTTGTACAGGTCATCAGTCAGTAAATTTGGGTTTTTACTTCGCAGCAACTGATATACGGAATGTGTTTTTCCATAGTTCACATTGGCATTGTCTGCAAAATAAGAAGACACATAATTTACATCCAAGTTGTGCTTTTCTAAGCTCTGCAGCACCAAACCAGTAATTGCCATAGACGTTTCCTCAGCACTTTCAACAAAATCTAGAAGTTTATTCTGCACTCCCTTTAAAGGGTCGAAGTGCCAGATGCAAACAGGGAACATTTTTCAATTGCTTCTGTTTGATGCATCGGTAGCCAACGAAAAAATTTTGAAGTATTTTCTGTATATCTTAAAATAGACACAAACTCATTTACACTTTTAGGAGCAAGAACGTACTTCACTATCATTTCCACTTTAGTGCGTCCACATGAAAGTTTGGAAGCAAACGCAGAATCACTGAAAATATGGGACACAAGTTTATTTCCGCAGGCCAGACTGGAATAACTTAAGTTGTGTTTCACTGCATGATACACTAAACCAAGTTCGAACTCAGTGCTGTTGTCATATTCTTCTTTATTTTTTAAATTAACAGAGTATTTTGAAAGTTTATTTGAACTTCCAGAATTACATTTTTCCTTAATTTTATGTCCCATGTATTGTGCATGCTGCCTCAGGTCACTTTGTCCACCATGCGAAATACTAAAATCCTTCCCACACGACGTACAAAATGCCCAGTTCTCGTCTGGGCCTGGCTTAACCCGCAAAAACATATCTTCCCATTTCTTAAGATATATTTTATTATGTTTGGCCTGGAATTTCAACTTCTTCCATGGAGTAGTCTTTCATGCATCTTTTTCGCCCTCAAACATTTTTGCTAACTTGACACTGACTTTCTAGCGAAGATTGAACGGATTAAAAATACACTATCACCATCAACCTCTGCTTTGATTTAGAACCTCAAGTGTTGGCAACATTCACGAAATACAACATAACGAAAGAAACTATAACAATGTCATTTTCCAAGGATAACAGAAATTTTATGATAATATTTAACCCATGAAATATAATTCGCAATGGACTTAAATAAAAAAACGGAGAATTATCCACTCCGGGTAAACAGTAAACGGAGGAACAAAATTTGGATCAAAAAACGGAAGAATCTGGGGAAAACAGGGTATCTGGGAACCCTAGTGTTAGTGTACCTTAAGTTTGTGGGAACTGCCCACATTCAAGCAAACAGTACAGTGACAACACAAGTATCATTGCTTAGCAACGGCGAGTAAACAGCCGTTGCTGGGCAAAGCTATGTTTTTTGTTTTTGGATTGCTTAGTAATATGTAGGCCTACATAAAGTAAAATTTTAAGAGCACATATTGGGGGAATGGTCATATGATTCCAAATATTTTTAATGTTAGGACTAGGTGGGGTGGGTGGTTGGTTTACATTCTGGCCTTTTTGCCCTTTGTATGCATTGTAGGGGAGGAAGGGTGTGCTCTAGAGCCAGTGTGGATATAGTGGCAAACAGAAAATTTCCTGCCTTTGTCAAGAATTTAATTCAAATCATCAAAACCATAAGCAGGCACTGTTCTGACAGAGCTGCAATATTGTCATATATTACACAGTTTTGCAAGAAGTAGCCTGCCAGGCACATGGTAATTCAAAATTAAGTAAACGCTCTTAGATACTAATAACACAATACTTATTAATTTCACAGTGATGCCACATGTACTATAGGTAGTTAATATGACCAAGATTTTTAACTCTCTTCATGTCTAGTAGTGGCATATTGTGAAAATGATGGCTACACAGGAGAAAGCATTCTGCGGCATACACAATGTAGAGACAATTGTCTTACAAATATTACCTTAAGGAAAGAATTTCAGCAATCCCGAAATCTGTGATTAAACTGTATAGCTTGTAGGGAAAATCTTGAGCACAGAAATGTACCTGTGGAGTTACGTGAAAGATGCTGTGTTTGAACCACTGTTGCCAGCAGACATTCTGGATCTGAACCAGAGAATCAATGAAGCAGTGGCACCAGTTGCTAGAGACATGTGATAATTGTCTGGGAAGAGCCATGTGGCACACTGAGTGCCTGTAAAATCTGTAAGAAAATGAGAGATTCTCTGTCAGACCAGCTGTGTTATGTGATTGTCATATGGATATTATTCAGTTTTTTATTATTAATGCAATAGGATTTACATATTTTTATCTCCATTGCTTTATCAGCGTTGGCCATCAGACATTGGTATACATCGCAGCAGAAAAATATCTTGTCAGAACCTGAATACTTGAAAATACAAAATGTTTGAGGGGCAGTCAAATGAAAATGGGTCAGATGCCATAACATATTTAAGAACATTTCTTACCTCAAAAGTAATCTCCAAAACTATTAACACTGTGACGTGTTGCGCTATGCAGGACACCCCTCCCTCTGCCAGCAGTGACGTAATACCATCGGATCACTGTCTTTACTAAGGTAGCAGGCAAGTCAACACCCCTTCCCCTACCCCGCCAGTGGTGACGTGGCCAAAGGATGCTGCGGTTGCTATGCAGCCATAAACAACTCCCGATAGCGTCGCCAGTAACACCTGTAACCACGGCGCCAAACAACAGTGGTGCCTATTATGTGGCTGTTCTTTGTGTTGTCCAGAACAAGGCTAAATAAGGAGCAGTGAAGACTGTTCACAGTTAGTTACGAGTTAGCCAGCAGTGAGTCAGTCAACCAGTCGGTTGTAGTCTAGCATTTGCAGCCTAGTATTTGTGATACTGCCGATGGCAGTAATTGTGAGATTGTAAACTGTGTGATCGTAAGAGCAAATGTGAAATAAAATTCGCTATATCCAATACGGCGTGAAGTTATTTGTCGCAATACACCCAGCACGTGACAATACATTTATCCCACTGGGAGATAAGACAGTCAATCCCATCATTGAAAAAGCTTATGGGCTGTCTGCAGAACCCCATCTTTACCCAGCCTCACACTTCTTCATCCGATGCAAACCGATGTCCACGATTGTCTCTCTTCAGGTCTCCAAAAATGTGAAAATCACATGGGGAGATATCTGGGCTGTGGGGGAGGGGGGATGTTAAAGCACTTCCCAACCAAATTTCTGTAGCATATTCTTCACAGAGTTGGCAGTGTGGGGGCACGCATTATCTTGAAGAAGGATAATGCCGTTCGATAGCATTCCAGGGCGTTTTGACTTTATGGCACATCTCAGTTTCTGCAATGTGTCTTCATAGCGATGTGCACTGATTGTGGCCCCATGCTTGAGATATTTGACAAGCAGAGGGCCCATGCAGTCAAAGAAGAACGTCATCACTTTACTGGAACTTGTGTGTACAACTTTGGATTTCATCTTTGAGGGAGAATTCACGTGTTTTCCACTGTTGGCTCTGCTGTTTGCTCTCAGGTTCAAAATGGTGGCACCAAGTTTCGTCCCCAGTGGCAATACAGGACAGAAAAGCATACTCTTCCTCGTGGTATCACTGCAAGTGACCCAGTGATGCAGCCATTCTCTGAGTCTTCTGTTCCTCCGTGAGTTGATGTGGAACCCACTGTGCACAGATTTTGCAGTACAGCAGGTGTTTTGTCACAATGGTGTATATGGAACCATGACTTATTCCCATAAAAAGACTAATTTCTTCCACAGTGATCTGTCAGTTTGCCCAGATATGACCATCCAGCGCAACAGTAACGTCAGGAGTGATGACACGATGAGCCTGTCCTGGGTGAGCATCATCTTGCAGTGACACACGTCCCTCTTGGAATCTCTTATGCCACGCCAGCACACGCAAATGTTAAATGCTGTGTTCACTGTAAACAACAGACATACAATGATGAATTTCTCATCCTCCTACTCCTTCAGCAGTCAAAAATGCACTACACTTCGCTGTTCTTCACCCACCTTCATTACTGATGTTGGACGACCACACGTAGCACTAACCTTACTTCCAGCACAATAAACAAACAACTAGTGTGCAAGGGCACGTCACTGTGGTTTCCTGAGTCCCCACCAGATGCTTGTACCATAAGCAAATTCCAGTGTTACCAACTTGCGTGCCGTGTGAGTTATGCGTGGTGACCCATTTTATTTGACTGCCCCTTATATATGTAACACAGGATATAATAGTTTTATACTCACAGAGTACAAAATTTCAGTTGGACATGTGATTGAGACCTCTTTATCAAGTTCTGCAAAAATTATCCTGTATAAAATATTGATACTTCTCGTGGGATTGTGGGACATAACACTGAATGTCATTATTTATTCTTTTAACTTAGTATTGCTATGGTGATGAAAAGAAGATGGGTTAGATGGCTAGGACATGTAACACACAAAAGAGAAAGAAGATTTGCATAAGTTTGGTTGTAGAATCCTATAGAAATAAATACATTTGAGAATAGGCAAAGTTTTGAGGATGATATTAAAAAGGCTTTTGAAGAAATGGTTTACAAGGATGTGGAAAGAATTGGGCCAGGTCAATATAAGATCCAGTTTTGAACATTTTAATCATGGTGATGAATCTTTGGATACCAATCGGCAGGAAATTTCTTATTCCAGAATATAGCAACTGCTCAGTGAAGATCTTGTAGCTTGGAGTGAGTCAGTCAGTTTGTCATGTTCCCTTACTTACATTTTGCAGGCAAACAATATGGTCATTTTTGGCATTGTCAGTTACTATGAAGATTGGTTGAAGTCAGTGTCATTTTTAAAAGTAACCAATGAAAAGCCACATGTTATAACTACAAATGTTGAACATGATGCTGTGATACTCCCAATCAGGCACTTGGAAAAGACAGGAGCAATTGGTAAGTTTAGATATGAATTCACACAGAAGTAACTAAAATAAAAGCAGATGTATTAGGTGAATTCACCAGTGATAAGTTTCCCCATTCTCCTTATAATTATGGGGCTTATCCTCCAATACAAATTACTGTCATTAACACCGCTCTCCCCAAGCATGCTGGCTGAAGCAGTAATATTTCTGACTTGTATTCAGGAGGTGTACATTTCAAATCTCACCTGGGACACTTCCTATCCTGACTGAGGTTTTTCATCACTTCACTCAGTACAAATGATAGTACCTTAAATTAAGCACAACACCTTCCTCCCACATTCTTTCCAGTTCATTATTGATTCATTCCACCATTCAGTGCCATATAGTTGGAGCTACTGACAGCATAATTAAACCATAAATAAATGAACATAACTTAGCTCTTCGCCTATTCATTGTCATCTTCATTATTAAATAATGTTTGAACTGGTACATAATCCAACCTCTTTATTAACTGTCACAACACAACAAATATCAAGGTAAAAAAAAATGGTACATAATCATCTATAGCTGTGGTCCGCGGACCCCCGGGGGTCCACAAGTAATTCAAAAGGGAATTTTTCGTCAGTAGGAACAAAACAGGGAATATCTGAAAGTCAAAATTGATGAGCTTGCAATGAACAGTAAGAACAAGAATATTAGAGACCTGTGGCGTGTTCAAGTTCTGATCCCACGACAGGTCCACAGTCTCCTCCAAAACAGCTTCTCCACTTAATGCGATCTTCTGTTTTTGGAAAGAGACTATCCAGGACCTGTATAGAGGAATAAATCACTTTAAGAGGGGTTACCAGCCTAGTAGTAACGTAGTGAAAGATGAGAATGGTGATCTGCTTGCAGATTCCGACAACGTTTTGAATAGGTGGAGGAACTACTTCTCTCAGTTATTGAATGTACATACGGTCAGTGATGTTAGGCAGACAGAAATCCATACAGCTGAGCTGTTAATACCTGATCCTAACCCTTTTGAAGTTGAAAGTGCTATTGCAAAATTGAAATGTTATAAATCGCCAGGTAGTGATGAAATTCCTGTAGAACTTATTCAAGCAGGAGGCGAAATATTACATTCTAAGATCCACAATCTAATTACTTCTATTTGGCATAAGGAAAAATTGCGTGATCAGTGGAAGGGGTCTATTATTGTACCAATGTACAAGAAGGGTGATAAAACTGACTGTAGTAATTATCGCGGGATATCACTGCTATCAACTTCATACAAAACTTTTATCCAATATTCTTCTCTCAAGAAGTCCATACATAGATGAAATTATTGGGGATCATCAGTGTGGGTTTTCAACGTAACAGATCAGCTAAAGATCAGATCTTTTGCATTCGTCAGATATTGGAGAAAAAATGGGAGTATGATGAGACAGTACATCAACTATTCATAGACTTCAAGAAAGCCTATGATTCAGTTAGGAGGGAAGTATTGTACAATATTCTGATAGAATTTTGGATACCCTTGAAACTACTTAGGTTGATTAAAATGTGTTTAAACAAAACATATATTAAAGTCCGTATAGGTAAATATTTGTCTGATAAATTTCCTATCCAGAATGGCTTTATCGCCACTCCTTTTCAACTTTGATTTAGAATATGCAATTAGGAAGGTCCAGGGAAGCCAGGTGGGACTGAAATGAAACGGGACACATCAGCTGTTGGCCTATGCTGATGATGTGAATCTACTGGGTGATAATGTAGATACCATAAAGAAAAACACACAGACTTTAATTGACACAAGTAAAGAGTTTGGTCTAGAAGTAAACACTGAGGAAACTAAGTATGTTGCTGTCCCGTCACAAAAATGCAGGGCAAAATCATGACATAAAGAAATGAAGCAGATGTTCGAAAATGTGGCACAATTCAGATATTTGGGAACAATGATAACAGATCGAAACCTGATTCAGGAGGAAATTAGGAGGCAATTGAACTCGGGTAATGCTTGCTATCATTCAGTCCTGAACCTTTTGTCTTCTCATCTGTTGTCCAGAAACATAAAAATTAGAATATACAAAACTATAATTTTGCCTGGGGTTCTGTATGGGTGTGAAACATGTTCTCTGACATTAAGGGAGGAACATAGGCTGAGGGTGTTTGAGAACAGGGGTTGAGGAGACTATTTGGAACGAAGGGAGATGAAGTGACAGGAGGTAGGAGAAAACTGCATAATGTGGAGTATCATAACTTGTACTCTTCTCCAAATATAATTAGAATGATCAAGTCAAGGAAGATGAGGTGGACAGGGCATGTAGCACAAATGGGGGAGAAGAGGAATGTTAGCCGGCAATGAATATGAGACAAATAATCTACCATTTGTTAAGAATAATAAATGAATAACTTGGAATTCACTAAAGAAAATGTTATGCAGTAAGGAAGCTATCATACAAATGGATATATTGCTGTTAACATCTTGGAAGTGAATTTAAATGGCCAAAGCAAAAGGCTTTATGAATAGATCAACGCAGGCCATAAGTGAGGCTTAACAATACTGTAGAAAGCAAGACGTCAATAACTTATTTAATTTTTATATTTTTTTCTTGCAGACAAGTTTGGGATTTGAATTTTTCACAGTGATGATTACCAGAAGTATTATCTGAGTTTATTATGGGGGTATAAAAATATTCAATAAATTGCCCATAGAGAACAAGAACACATCCAATAATTTTAAAATTTTAAGGTTGTAATAAGGCATTTCTTGAATAGTCATGCATTTTATACTGTGGATGAATATCTAAATAAATAATTTTTATTATTGTTGTATTCATTGTACTGTCTAGTTGTGCAATATTTATGTACGTATTCTGTGCTCTTATGTTATTTTATGGCATGTTCTTTATCCATCTTTTGGATCTCTTGAACTCACAATAAATACAAATACAAACTCTGTGTAGTCCACTAGAAATCCATGGATATTTCAGAAGAACATACTGCCTCTATTTTGAGGATCAAAGATTAAGCCATGCAATAAATGGGTGGCAAGCATCTTGCTGGCCAATTGCTTTTCATTCTGTTTGATCCTGAAGACGGAGGAAATATGTCCCTCTGGAACATCAGTGAAGTTCTACCGGACTACAATAGCTTCACAGCTCAGAAGATAGTACTTTTCAAGTTTTATCAGCTTGAGACATTTAGAATTCTGTTGTAGAAAACAGCAAAATCGTTGTATGAAAATTAACTCTTTGAGGAATTGTTTGGCACAGAGTATTTAGTCCGTGTATTTAATGGAGGCCAATCTGATGAGTTTTGTTGGTGTAGACAATGTGATTGCGCAAACTGTCATGCGTTACCCTATCAGAGGGTGAGTGGGCCAGTTTCTTTTATGTATGCCCATAGAAGAGGTTGAGTATGGAGTTCATACAAGAGCAATATTATTGAGTATGAAGAGAAGTAATAGCCAGTAAAGTCATTCAGTCCAACAGTAAAACTTGGGTGTGATGTCATTAAATTTCATGATTTACAGTTTGATGTTTACTGGCACATTTATAGCTGTTCTGTAATTATGTCACCTTCTACTGATACTGAAGTTCACCATCTCTCTTTTCCTAATACTTTAATCTTTACTTCCCCCTTCTTCAGACCACAGGCCACCATTAATAAGTACTGCAGAATAAAGAGCATAAGAAATTTATAAAAATGTTTTTGAATTGAGATCATGTCGAATTCCTCTTCATTTAAATGTGTCTAATAATTAATTACTTCCCCTTATGGTAAGTATAATAATGAAGAGTATATTGCTTTAACTTTTATTAAATGCTGTAACTTGGTTCAAGGGAGTGAGGCATCTCTTTTTCTTTCCAAGATGTGAGTATCATACATGTATCCACAAGAGGATGTGTAGTTCCCCAAGATATACTGTCAAAGATCAGCCATACAACATGCCTGATCACTGTTATGTTAGCAAACAATGAAACTGGAGTCATCATGCCTGTTGAAGAAATTGGCAGGTAGTGTGAAGTTGATTTTATATTGCAAGAGATTGATTTGACCACCAAGAGATTGTTATAGAAGTACAGGATATTTGCAGGATTTTTTAAAGCACGGTGGTTGATATATGGACAGCCTGCTATAAAGAGTTCTGTGTTCTGGGATATAATGCCATCTAAGCCATCAAAAATCAACATTTCAGAGGAATGTTGCCTTCATCTTCAAGGCCGAAGATTAAATCAAGCAAGAAATCAGCATTAAGTAGGTAGCCACATCTGTTATATTCCAGAAGATAGAACTCTCATATCCGTCACTGTGAACAACAATTTGTACAGACCTATTTTAATGTAAAAAAACTCAGCATTTGTCCACAGAATGTATTTATGATTCTCAGAATTAACAGCACTTATCTCCCTAAACAGCATTAACTGATCAGTTTTGTAATGTATATACCATGTGTTTTCTGTGCGGTAGGAACTGAATTTCTGTATGTTATTTAGGTATATATTAAGTTTCAAAGATTTGCTTTAGTAAATTTTGATGTTTAGTGGTTAAAATCGTTTGAATTCAGGAGATCCAAGCCTTGAATCTTGGCCTGGTGTTCATTTGCCCTGACTGAGGTTTTTCATGTTTTTCCTCAGTCCCAGATTAATGTTGGAATATTACTGGTACCTTAGGAGCAAACTGTTTAGCAATGGAATTTTTGGCATGTTTTCCCAAGATTCATAATAATATGACATCTTAAAATGTATGGTTTTTTGTGTTGTAGGTGTATAAAGGAAGTTAACAAACAGAGGAAGGCAGAGAACCTGATAAGAATATTGTATCACACAGATGCTGCACAGGGTGTAGGCAAGATTCAGGTGGATGTTCAGGAACTGAATGTTGACTACCTGACAGTTGTGGGGCATAAGGTAGTACTAGATATGTTTTTAACTCTTGATTGATTACTAGGTAGAATATATGACAATGTGCAAACTGCAGTATAAATACTGTTAAAAATTTGTTCTGGCAATTATTGTTTTGACTGAAGTTGTTATCTAAAGCTGAAAGGATTTAGTCCATCAGCTTTTTATCTGCTGTTTACATTTCCTACTTCTAAATATATAACCTAGTGGCCTCCGTAGTCTAGAGGTAACGTTCCCACCTCATGACTCGTGGTACGTGGGTTCAAATACCCGGCGGAGGTTGTCGAATTTTTAAGGGCGGAAAAATTCAGGGAACAAGTCCTCCAGGAGGGACTTTACGGCACGTAAAAGAACCTCATATCTCCAAAGGAGATCACTGAGCCAAATTCCAGGACGTTTCCTGCCCAACAATAGTCTCTAAGGCCTCTGACAGATGGGGGAAGCATTATAGACACCACCAAGCAAGTGGCCAAACTCGCTGGCTCGGTCGGGACTGATGGTATGCACCATTATCGGTAGGGTATGGAGACTGGTAGAATATCATAGAGGGAAGCACAATGGACCAATACTGGTCTAAGTGCATGGGGAAACCCACCCTCTCCAATAACTAACTAACTAAATATATAACCTGATACAGCTTCACATATCTTCACACCAACAGTCAGTATTTAATTATTATTACTGGTATTGCAATTCCTGAATCTGAGGGAAACCTGTGGGATCATCTGTTCCGTTAGTGATGGTTCTGTCCGGGGACATCAGCTGACCTAACTTTATACAGCAGATAGTAATGAATAGTCTTTATATCCATAACCCTATCTGCATTTCCTGCCTGCCTTCAGTGTAAAAGTAATGTTTCCAAATTGTTTAACAAACTTCCTATTTTAAAGGATTTCCCACCTAAAGAATGGGTAATAAAGTTCACAAAACTAGTATTTTATCTTCTTAATATGTTAATAAGGTATTAACACTATAAATACACTCACTATCTTGTGTACCATAATGCATTTATTTAATTTGCTACTTCAGTTTCCTGCTTTTTCATTTTCTTCAAATGTGCAGTGGCAAGATGACCTTTGGTTTTGCTTCCAAAATAAACACTTGATAGGTGTAGTTTACAAGGTACAACATCCTATTCTCTTAACATCTCATTTGTGTCAGCAGAGTATGTTAGTTTCGGAGATATTCTGCATCACTATCAGCCTTAGAATGATTCAGTATTATTTGAAAAGTATCTGTGAAATATATGAGTATTTTAAGCATAATTAATAAGATCGAAGTGTAGTAATTAACCAGTATGACAGAGCATGTCAGATTTCAGTTATTATAATACAGAATATTCGAAATGGAAGAAATGGTGATAAAAGTAAAAACCTCACCAGGCCCAGACACTGGGAGGATTGACAGATTGAGAGCTCTTTCTTGTATTGTATTGTATTGTATTGTATTGTATTTATTGCACGCTCCAACACATCCTTACATGGCTGAAGCCCTTGGATACAGAACCGGTCTCACAACAAGCCTGCTAAGTAGCAGGTAGTCACTCGATAATATATATATACAACAATATTAACATGATATTAACTTAATACCCTTATATGTACTACAATTACATCACATTTACAATATAATTACATTATAATTTAAATATAAATAAATAACATAAACACTCAATAACAATCCTAGTTAAAATATTCATCCAAAGTATAATAAGATTTACGATGTAAAAAGGCATGTAAAGCCACTCTAAATTGCTTAATATCACAGACCAATTCTTTAATCTTCAATGGAAGATGGTTAAAAAGTTTAATGCCAGAATAATAAGGACCTTTCTGGTAAATTGTTAAATTTGCCTGAGGACAATAGAGATCAAAATTACGCCTCATTTTCAGGCCATGAATTTGCGTTGACTTATGATACAAGCCCATATTATTCACAACAAACATCAATAATGAGAAAATATATTGCGACTGCAACGGCAATATTCCCCATTCCCTAAATGCCTCTCTACAAGAGTCTCTAGGTCTCAACCCACTCATGACTCTAATTATACTCTTTTGAATTCTAAAAATATGCACACTAAGGGGTGAATTACCCCCAAAAATAATTCCATAGCTCAGTAGTGAATGAAAGTAGGAATAATACACCATTTTTAATGTCTCAATGGGCAAGATGGGTTTAATCACCCTCATTGAATAACAAGCGTTACATAATTTAGGCCTAAGCTTAGTTATATGAGCTTTCCAAGTGCAAAATCTTTCTATAACAATCCCCAAAAATTTCATGTTTATATCATTTAAAATCCCATTATTACAATATCGAATAGAAGTTACATTATTCGTTCTAGGCTTTGTCTCAAATTGAACATGTTTAGTTTTATTAAAATTTAAGGTCAACCTGTTTGTACTAAACCACTCATTAAGACAAGTGAAAGAGGTATTAACATCTTTACTATACTGGCTATTATTCCAACTGCTAATGACTAAGCTTGTATCATCTGCATACAATACTGATTTAACTGAATCATTGAAAATTGTGGGGAGATCATTTATATAAAAAAGAAAAAGAAGCGGACCAAGGACGGACCCTTGTGGGACTCCGGATCTTACAGTATCCCAGTTAGATCTAGCAGCATGATCAAAGTCAGTGCTGGCTATTAATACTCTCTGTTTTCTGTCTGATAAATAGGATGTGATCAGGTCAAGAAATTTGCCTCGTATTCCATAAAATTGAAGTTTCTTCAATAAAATCTCATGGTTGACACTGTCAAATGCCTTCTTTAAGTCACAAAAGATTCCACTTACAATTTTCCGCTTATTTAATGCTTCTAATATTTCATTTATTAACACATAAGAAGCTATAGTTGTTGAAGATTGACTTCTAAATCCAAACTGTTCATTAGCTATAATATTATAGTCATGAATATGTTGGTTTAGTCTAGCCAAAATAATCTTCTCAAATACTTTTGAAAAGGAAGTCAAGAGAGAAATGGGTCTATAATTAGAGGGGTCATTCTTGCACCCATCCTTAAAACAGGGCTTAATCTCAGCGTATTTTAACCTGTCCGGAAAATTTCCGGTAGACAGCATTTTATTACAAATAAACGTTAACGGAGAAATGATAAATGGAGCACTAATTTTTAGGACTTCAACTGATATTTCATCATAACCATGTGATCTTTTTGTTCTCAAAGTTTTAATAATTTTATATAACTCAGTCGTTGTTGCCGCCTGGTATTTAATACTAGGAAAAGGATGTTCAAATGCTGACTGCAAATAGTCTAATGGCTCAATATTAGTTTTAAAATTTTTACTTATGTTATTCTCAGCCATAGTTAAAAATATACTATTTAAGGAGTCGGCAATATCTTGCTTATTTCTAATAAGCTCCCCTTTAACTTTTAGTTCCTGTATTGTATCTTCTTTAGTTGACCTCCCAGTTACAGATTTAGTAATATTCCAGATAGTTCTTATTTTGTTACTAGATTTTGATACCTGACTACTATAATACTTCTTTTTGGCTTCTCTTATAACACTTTTTAATATCTTACAATACTGCCTGTAATAATTCTTAAAAACCACATCATTGGTACTCCTGTATAATAAATAAAGGTCTCTTTTATGCCTGCAGGAAATACCTATACCTAGGGTAATCCATGAATTATTATGAGGTTTAATTCCCTGTCTTTTTAAGGGGAAACTAGAATAAAATATTCTAAGAAATGAATTTAGAAAGGAATTATACATTATATTTATATCATCAATACCAAAAACTGTGTCCCAAGTTTCAAAACTCAAATTGTATTTAAAGTCCTGCACAGTGGCCTGGTCAATTTTCCTAATCATTTTCCCACACCTTACGCTACCCTTCTTAATATGAGCTTTAACCTCTGTTAAAACAATTAATTGAGCATCGTGGTCGGAGAGTCCATTAAATATAGGATATATTTCATAATTCCCCAGCAGAGAGGCATCTACAAATATGTTATCTATTGCCGTCGCAGAGCCATTTTGCACTCTTGTTGGGAAATTCACTGCACTTGTTAAATTATACATAGCCAGTAGTTGATCAATTTGCTTCCGTTTATTATTGTCAGTTAAATAATTAACATTTATGTCACCACAAAGGATTATTTTGGCATTATTTCTAAATAATAAGTTAAGAATAATTTCCAATTTTTTTAAAAAAAGGATAAAATTACCACTTGGGGCTCGATAAATTGATACAATATAAATATAATCAAAGGAAGTAGTTAAAAAAATTGCACTGGCTTCAAAATGTTGGTCAGTGGAGTAGCTACTCAAATCTAACTTGGAGAAACTTAGGCTTTGTTGTACATAAATACAGACACCACCCATTTTCATGGAGTGCCTACAATAACTAGCTCCCAGGGTACAGTTGTCAAGTCGGACAGCCTCAATCTCTGACTGATTAAGATGATGTTCCGATAGGCACACAATATGAGGAGAATCCACATATAAAAAATTTTTAATCTCATCAGTTTTGCATCGCAGTCCTTGAATATTCTGGTGATAGATTTGAAGAGCCACCTTAGTTACATTTGATTCGGTGGGTGGTGGTGCATGGCCGTTCTTAATTGGTGGAGCGATTTGTCTGGTTAATTCTGATAACGAACAAGACTCTAGCCTGCTAAATAGTCACATCCGGTATCCTCTGCGCTACCTGTGACTCTTAGTCTTCTTAGAGGGACAGGCGGCTTCTAGCCGCACAAGATTGAGCAGTAACAGGTCTATGATGCCCTTAGATGTTCTGGGCCGCACGTGCGCTACACTGAAGGAATCAGCGTGTCCTCCCTGGCCGAAAGGTCTGGGTAACCAGCTGAATCTCCTTCGTGCTAGGGATTTGGGCTTGCAATTGTTCCCCATGAACAATGAATTCCCAGTAAGTGGGCACGGGGGTCCGCCCCTTCGATTCCACCGGGAAGATGCCTGAACTTGATCATTTAAAACTCCTCATTGGTATCTCCACCTTATTGTGGTGTGGGG